CTTTCAAGCCCTATCCTATTAATGACTTATGTTGGCATGTGCAGCAGGATGGCGTCGACACTTGTATAGTCCTTATGCACATTGTACAGATGTACGAAGTTCTGTACTATGGCCGTAGGTGTGTACATACCCGTTGGGTGTTCATTGTGTGCTATACATGCGCGTTTGACCCATTTAGCCTCACAATTCATGGCAAACGATCACTTTTCAAGCTTTTTCACTTTGGGATTGAACTAACGACTAGCTAGATCTCTGCCGGAAAAAGATTTCGTATGAAATGCCTTCATGGCCCATTTCATAGTGGAAATAGCAGTTAGCACAATAGGGTCCTGCACATTCAACACCCAACCGGGTCTACGGGATTCTACAAGATTATACGGGATTTCGTGCATCTGTACAATGTGCATAAGGCCTATTGGTCCTGCGTAGTGCGTACATACATGTACGGTACATCATGTACATGCACACTCCTCACACGTTTCACTTGCACAAGACTAGCAAGAGTACACGAAACAGTTTCATGTACTGTACTACTAGTACATGTACTCTTGCTTGCACCCAGCAGGTCAAGGTTCTACTTGTCACCCGCTGGCACCTCTGATCATTCCAGTATGCTGCCCTGCATGCTGAATGGCTTCTTCCTCGATCCTTTCAGTTCACAATTATCCGGTTACACTTACAGGTAACTAACAGTACACTGGGTCCAGGTAGCACACTGCAGTCAGTGCAGAGAGGATGCTTGCTCTTCCGAAGTCACAAGCATCATGCAACGGAAGTGTCTTGCTGCAAAGAACATGGACTTGAGCTGGACAGCTTCAAGTAGATCTACTAGTAGTTGAGTGTAAACTTGTTACATGTACCAAGAGTACATAACCTAATAAAATATAGGGGTTATGTACTCTTGTATGTACTAGTAGTTACCTGGAGAACTGGCGAACGGCAACTGAGCTGATGACCTTTGAGGATAGGATCGTAGGAGGGAACCTTGAAGTAAACAAAATAGGGGTTGTGGACCTTGAAGAGCTATCGCCCTTCGCAATAGAGCGAAGGAAAGAGAGGGAGAGAGAGAGAGAGAGACACCCACACACAGGAGTTGGTGATAACCAAGAGCGAAGAAAGAAAGATCAAAGAGAGAGAGAAAGAAAGAGAGAGAGAGAGAGAGAGAGAGAGAGAGAGAGAGAGAGAGAGAGAGAGAGAGAGAGAGCGCCAGACACCAGAGAAAGAGAGAGGGGGGGGGGGGGGGGGGCAGAGAGCCAGAGAGCATATCACAATGCTCTCACCGCCACGCACAGTAATTCCACGCGAGAGGGCTTTCTCGTTATCCACATTGCACAGAGCCAATGCTAGACGACTCACTGGTAAGTGACATTATTCTAAAAGCAGATACAGCAAAATTAGAAGTTAGAAATTCAAAGTGGAGATGTACTAGAAAGAACTGTAGAGTGGTGAATAAGGTTTCTCATATATGAGCAACAACATGATTTTTCTTCATAGCAATATCATGGAACAAGTACCATCACATGCATATCTGCAAAAGCACTAACAGAGGAAATGGAGACTCGGGTAGCATCATAGACCAAGAAACACGATTGAATGAAAGCAAGAGAGAGAGAGAGAGAGAGAGGAGAGAGAGAGAGAGAGAGAGAGAGAGAGAGAGAGAGAGAGAGGAGAGAGAGAGAGAGAGAGAGAGAGAGAGAGAGAGAGAGGGAGAGAGAGAAAGAGAGAGAGAGAGAGAGAGAGAGAGAGAGAGAGAGAGAGAGAGAGAGAGAGAGAGAGAAAGAGAGAGAGAGAAAGAGAGAGAGAGAGAGAGAGAGAGAGAGAGAGAGAGGAGAGAGAGAGAGAGAGAGAGAGAGAGAGAGAGAGAGAGAGAGAGAGAGAGAGAGAGAGAGAGAGAGAGAGAGAGAGAGAGAGAGAGAGAGAGAGAGAGAGAAGAGAGAGAGAGAGAGAGAGAGGAGAGAGAGAGAGAGAGAGAGAGAAGAGAGAGAGAGAGAGAGAGAGAGAGAGAGAGAGGAGAGAGAGAGAGAGAGAGAGAGAGAGAGAGAGAGAGAGAGAGAGAGAGAGAGAGACAGAGAGAGAGAGAGAAGAGCAAAGGTGACAAACACTGATCAACTCAACACATACAAATACTTCAAGTGAACAGATAATGATGAATATAATATATGCAATTATTAAAAGGCGGCGAAGTGACAATAGTTTGAGAATTGCGATGAGCAGAACCAGCTGAATCTACACAGCAAAGCATTCGTGGCATGCACACATGCAATACTATGTCAAAGAGGTCCTGCCCAGGAGAAACTTTGCTGAGAATAAAACCAATTAGAGAAAACTAATGTCCGGGTGCAGGCAAAGACACGTGCTATTAACCCTTTAACCGTCAGACCATACATTTGTGGGTCGAATTCGACCCATCATTTGAAATACTCGCACTGGAATGTTTTTTACCCACGATAGAAAATTTACTATCGATTCGGTCGCGAATTTTCCAGGCTTTCTGTTGCAGAAATCCGCGTTGAGCTACGATGTAGTGGAGCAGAGTTATCAAGCGCTGAGTACTGCACGCTTGTCACTTCCGCTGCGCTGGGCGCGCGGCTGACGTCGTCACGGGATTTCCCCGTTTCTTCACGCGCTCTGTGACTGTTGCTCGCGACCAACGTATTCCTCACGAAATGCTCGATCTCCTCAAAAAAATTTGAACACTCTACGATGAAGGAGACGGCCATGGCGGAGTTTTGAACTTGTCATTTGCATGCCTGGCGTTGAGACGACGTCGCTGCGTTCCAGCGCTGGTTGTGTGACTGCTGAGGCGAAGAATGTGGTATTATCGTGCTGGTCTCGTCCAGAGCTTTCCAACGAGCCCAAGATTATAAAAATCGAGTGAGTACAACTAAAGTTATGACCTGGCAAAGTTGAAATTTCGTTCGGCGTTTCAATGGGTGAAATTTATATGACGGTTAAAGGGTTAAAATGACCAAATCAAATGTGAGAAACTGATATCCAGGATTAAGCACGATATAAAACATTCCAATGTCACAGCATAAAGCATAGGGAAGCTATCCCCAAGGCCGTAGGGGGAGAACAGTGATCATATATTCCGTTTGCGTGGGCCACAACGCATTGTGATCATGGAAATATGGTCATAGACAAGCACACAGTGACACTCAATGAAAGCAGCAGCAGCAGCAGCAGCAGCACGTAAACGAGAAGAAGTAAATGCATCACGCCATGTTACTGCCTCATCTGCTTCATCATATCTTCACATATTGTAGAGAGCTCCTTGTTCTCTTCCTCCTGTAAGTCACAGTATCACACACATACACACAAATACACACACACATACACACACACGCGCACACACACACATGCACAAACACACTTACTCATACACATACACACGTGTGCAAAATGCAATAGTAGCTTTTCAAAAGTTACGGAGGCTGGAGTTACTTCCTTTACTGGAAGTAGCTCATAGACTAACCTTTTGTTTGAGCGATCTGTCCAAGCTGTCTGCCTTAACCTGGAGCGTTTTCATGTTAGCTGTAAGCACAGCTACCTCGCTCCGGTGATCGTTCACAATTTTCTGCATCTTGATGTTGGCCCTGGCACAACACAATGCGAAGTGAGAGAGAGAGAGAGACGCGCGCACACAAACACACACACACACACAGACATAAGCCTAAAGCAACTGGTCGATTCTTACGCAAGCCGTAGGTGCAAAGAGAATAATGGTAGTCATGGTACAACAGCACACTACCCCAGCGGCTGACAACAGATTTGTAGTTGGACAACGTAAACTGTCACAAACGCAACCTTGCATCCCTGCACAGGCTGCAGCCCTGTCAGCCACACTCCGGCAGTGCTAGGATATCAGGCTAAATTCCTTCGTGTACATAAGAGAGAGAGAGAGAGAGAGAGAGAGAGAGAGAGAGAGAGAGAGAGAGAGAGAGAGAGAGAGAGAGAGCAGCAGCATGCCACTGTAGCAACATGACTGTACAGCATATCTCCTGACAGCTATGCTGATCAGCAGTAACTCTCAACACAGCCATGCTGATCAGCAGTAACTCTCAACACAGCTATGCGGATCAGCAGTAACTCTCAACCCCCTCACAGCCATGCTGATCAGCAGTAACTCTCAACCCCCTCACAGCCATGCTGATCAGCACTAACTCTCAACCCCCTCACTGCACACACATAGACGGAAAGAACATGGCAAAGAATACAGTGACACAGACTATAGTCAACTCACTGGTTGATTTGCTCTGCTGCATGCTCCTTCAGATGCTGATTGGTCTCTCCTGCCTTCTCTAAACTCTGACGAAGTGACTTCTCAGTGTCTGTCAGCGTGGCCTCGTTCTGGAGAAAACAAATACACACCACATTAAGAAAGAGCTGATGGCATAGCCGGTCCAGTTCAAGATGCAAGAAGAAACATAATAATTATAACGCATACTAGCATACTAGAAGGCAAAATCATAATCTCTGTAGTCTAATGCATAAAGAGAAAGTCTCAAGTATTTCAGACGGACCCAAGGATATAGCAACATGTTCAACACGATAACTGGTACGTGTTGTTATGAAATAGAAGATAACGGAAAAGAGGGTTATGCACGGTAAGACGATGTTATATTAAAAAATTACAATGAGTGATCATGTTTGGGTCGCCACAAATTATCAAGTTGGGCCCCAAACGTACAGCCCACAGTTCGAGTACCCCCCCCCCCCCCACACACACATGGACCAACACTCCCTACGAAAACGAAAAGGAAAGTATTAACAGACAAGTCGCAACACAGATATCAACACATGCATGTATCAACAGCATAATCATTTCCACTGCGTGTATCTGAGACAAAGACTTTTAGAGACTAGTAGCTATTAGAGAGTACAGTGAGCGTTGTCGGGTGGTCAAATGTTCTCAGCTAGTAATGAAGAGGTGCAGTGCAAAGCATTACCTTGCGCATCGTGTCGACAGCAGCTCGCAGCCGCTCATACCGATTGTGCAGATCAGCGAACGAGTTCTCAAGAGAATTGATGTCAGCTGACAGCTGTAAAAAAAGAACAGAGGAAAAAGTTGCTAAATGAAGTGTAGAGATACTGCACCATCACATCAGTACACCAGTATAGAGATAATCTCATTATATTACAATACTATAGAGGCTATGCAAATACATCATCATTTGAGATGCTTTGTACGGAGTGGTGTCACAAGCTCTGCTTGACAAAATGACAAGTAACAACACAGGGCTGAACATGCCACAAGACATATCCACTCCAAGGTTATTTCTACATTCTCCGTCCACCAAAATGAAAGTACCTCTGCATTGTTGCTGGAAAGATCTTGAACTTCTTTTTCCAACGTGTCCTTTCGCAGTTGACTTTTCTCTGGAAAGCAAAGAAAGCAGACAAAGCTCATTATCACGGTAAGGGCAGGGTTCCACTGCGGCTCCGCGGCACTTGGCTGCATGCAGCGGAGCAGCGCGGTTCCACTGTCACTCGCCATTCGTGGTACCGCGGTCGTGGTCCACACTTTTTGATGACGTTTCACCTGCCTGCGCGCGCGCGCGCGAAATCAAACAAATCCTCGTGTTCTGGCCTGCGGAACGAATTAAAATTTGAATTTTAAAATTCTGGCGTCCAAAACAATGCAAAGTTTGGGAAACAGGTCGAGCCGCAACCGCGGCTCGCAGTTTTTGGTCAAGAATCGTAGCAAAAGCTCGTGGTGAGCCGCGGACTCGCTGCTCCAGCTCGAGCCGCGGTCACTATGGTAATGATGACGTTTCAAGCCGCGAAAGACGAGCAGCGGAGCCGCAGTGGAACCCGGCCCTAAGCAGGAAGGCAACAAAGCTCCTGCTGTGGGAAACTACTTCGAAGTAGCCGGAATGGTTGCACGAGGAAAGACACCAAGATCATCAGGATGGAGAAAGATTTTATCCCCAACAACAATACCATGCACAAGTGCTCAAAATAGAGTTCAGTGACTTCAGTTGGTTTGCTAGAAATCTGTGGAAAATGAGGACATACATGTACAAGCATACGATTACTCATACAAGTCATCAGTAGTGGCTTCAGTACACACTTCTAACTTCTATTATAGCATTCTTACCAGTTTTCTCAGTCATGCTTGCATTGTATTCGTCTAGCACTTTCCTGCAAACAAAGTGAACACAGCGAAACAAAGAAGAGACAGTTATAGTATAAACCAGCATCTGGGTTATGTATACTACCTTACAAAATTACCAACAGCAGTACGATACAGTGACTTGTAACGTCTGAGTAGTTACTGACCAGTGGTATTGGTTCCCTAGAATAAGCTAAGTCCAGTACGAGGCAGTCCTTGGCCCACAACTGCTGTGGATGTCAAGGCGGCGGTGGCAGCAGCACATCAGCATGAGAATCTACCCAAGATCTCCTCGTTTCAGGGTAGAATTGACCTCATTCGCTTCCTTGTCATAGGATCCATACAGAACATTCGGTTTGCAAATTCAAATAAAACCAACCAACCAACAAACCAGCAGCAGCAGGAGCAGAAGCAGCAACAGTGGCAGCAACGACAAGCAACAATCAGCAGCAAGCATCATGATCATGATCATCATCGTCAGCTGCAGCAGCAGCAGTAGCTGCTGGAAAGAGGAACCATGCCGATGGTACACACGTCTAGACCAGCTCACAACGCAAATTGTCTCTGCAAATTGAACACAGCACCATCTCTCACCGCAGATCCCGCAGTTGCTGATCATCAGCAGTAATCTTTTCTTGAAGATTTCGATTTTCGGCAGTCAGGGCATCAATTTTCTCCATCTTGTCTTGAGCTGACTTACTTCCCTAACAAAAGATAGAGATAGGCACAATTAGATGAATAGATGGATGGAAAGAGAGATAATAGTAGAGAAAGACAGTGAGAGAGAGAGGAGGAGGGGGGGGGGGGGGGGGAAAGGGACAAATAAACTTCATGCAATGGCCAATATGTATGCAGGGGAGCCAACATAATAATTATTTCCTTCGAACTGTAATAATTTCAGTAGCAAGCAGCTCATGTGATCAGTAGAAGCAACTGGCATGCACAATATAGCCGGAACTCTTTCAGACGGTCCACTTCTAGCTGATACACTTGGCAACTACTTGAATATCCGCTGGAGAAAAATATTTACAGAGAACGTCATGGAGTAGAGTGTAGAATGTAGCATAGTATTAAACATGGTTTCAGTTCCCTCGCCTATCCAGACACTTTGTCATTTGCCATCTGAAAGGACTGGTACTTGTAAAAATCTGTATACAGACAAGTAATGTCTTGGCTTACCTCCCCTCTCAGTAATGTCTTGGCTTACCTCCCCTCTCAGGCGCTCCAGTGCCTCAGCAACAGCATTTTCAACATGGCGTTGAACATCCGCTTCAGAATATTTCAGAACCTGACGATACGAATAAACAATTGCCAAAGATCACAGATAGATGCCTCAAACCAACAGATACAGCATGGCTTGAAGTGCCCAAGCAATTTGCTTACCATGAATGATAAGCAGAACAAGATTACAACATCACGAGCCAATATAACATTCGACACAAGCTGTCAATGACTCTCATATCATACATAATCCTTCTGTCTATCAGCCCACCCATCTGTCAGCTCGCCCGCCAACATTTTATTAACACACAGCAAGTATTGTTTTCCACAGTAACGTTAGCACGATCGAATGACCTACATCGATGAGATCATTCGTTGCAGAGCCCGCAGTTTGCGGTGCTCTTGTTGTTGACGATAATGGCTCAGATGGAGCTGTGGAAGATGGACGAGAGACTGGAGAAGATGCTGTATGCGTTTGATCCTGGGACTTGGAATGGGGCGATGCTGACAAGGGGCGCTCTCCACCTTGCGACTCAGCTGAAGAGCCAGGTGTAGGACTTGGTTCAGGGGTAGGCCGTGTAAAAACGCTCATGTCAACATCAGAAGACGTTTCCCTAATCTCCTGTGTGGACCCCGATCCTCCTGCCTAAACGTACAACAGAGTGAAAAAGAAAATACAAGAAAACATATATTGACGAACTATGGATACGGAACATGGAGTAAAGATTTTCTAGTTCGGACTTTTCTCGGCAGCTGGTTCTTTCAGTGTTGCATGCCTGATGTTACTGCACTTGTTTCACCTCTGAGCAGTGTAGAACTCCACACAAGAACAGCGGGCTGATGTAGGACAAGTGTTGCCCTACCCTACTAGTAGTACACTCAAGTTCATCCACCTTATGCAGTGTCCGCTCTAGGATTTCAAACCAACCGGGTACACATGTGCCTGGCACAACTCTTCCAACTACAATGTCTTAACGTCAGCATCAACAACCCGGTGCCTAGTGACTGCAATCAGCTGCAAAGGAAGATCAGTGATAAGAGCAGTGATAAGAGCAGTTCCAAACATCAGCTGCTGGATGTATGGTGACACGTTTCACCTACTGTCTGCACACAGTACATGTGAAGCATATTATGCTTACCCATGCTCCTGACGACTGGGGTGTATCCATAAGGAGACGACCTGCTTGGACGGCAGCAGCATTGCTATCACCACTTGTCGCATGCGTTGTCGGTGTAGACGCTGGCCTATCATCGGTTGTACCAGCCGCCGTGTCCGATGATACTAGGTTTGGTGTGGCGATCTGCCCGTGACGAGATCCAGCTGCAGACGACTGGGTTGTGTGCTTTTCTGGTGTGTCCAGGACAAGGAGATCACTACAGATACACACCAACAGTCAAGAGCAACCATTTCAAAGTGTGATCATAACAACATGTTAGCGCACCCTTTCTCTAGAATACACAGTCAACATATTGTAAGTCTCCATCCTCAAACCCAGAAATGAGAACAGGAAGAACTCCCTGTACAAAAACAGCAAAACCTGTCAAATAACCACTTTAGTTAGGGAACAACCTGTCACAGAGGACTAATGGAAAGAGCACCAATGGAATGAGGACCAACAGGATGTCATTTCCAGTAAATGACAGTTTATAAGGGAACCACCACCGGTACACTACACGGGGACCATGTTTCGGGGTCCCTTGAACAGTCGGCTTACACACGGTTTACTATACATGTACTTCAGTTTGTTCTAACAACCTCGGAGAAATTGGTGGGGCTTACTTTCCTCCTGCAAATGCCTTCGGAATGGCAGCAACGTGAGCTGAGAAGAAAATTGAGAAGAAACAAAGACAAACCCTCTATAATGCAAATCCTGTCAAGCCATAGCATTTGTGGACAGATTGTTATGCAACAGAAAGCAGTCTTTGCAACTAACATTAGAGTATATAACAGGATTGCAGTATTGCAAAGGAAGTAACTGTTATACCAGTCAACTTCATCTAAAGCACCCACATTGTCACCTTAGCTCAGGCGGGCGGGCGTGCGCGCGTGTGTGTGTGTGTGTCTTCAACATCTTTATGTGGGCAGTGATGCATTGTTGGCACCAGCAAGTGCAGTCTATCCATGGTGTTGGCGCAAAGGTCTTCTTCGAGCCAGATGGGAAGCTACTCCACCACCGTAGCCGCCGTGATAGATCCCTGGAGCTGACAGAGTGCCAGTTTGCTGATGATTCCGCTCTTGTGGCCGCGACACGCCAGGCCACAGTTTCAGCCTTGGAGGTATTTGTGGATGCATGCAGCGATTTTGGCCTCACCGTCAGTGCCACCAAAACCTAGTTCATGGTTTCTGGCCCCAACATCTCTAACGACGATCTAGAGCCGCTCGCGATTCGAACTATGGAGATTGCCCATGTGTCGTCTTTTCGTTACCTTGGATCCAACATACACAGCAACGGCCGATGTCATGATGATGTCACATCCCAGATTGCACAAGCTGCCAAAGCGTTTGGCGCTCTGAAGAAATCGATATTCCACGATGTAACACTGACAATATCCATCAAGCGGTCAGTGTACAATGCTTGTGTGCTGGCCACTCTGCTCTATGGGTCCGAATGCTGGGTACCGCTACAAGCTGATGTTCATGCGTTGTCTGTCTTCAATCTCCGTTGTGTCCGCACCATTCTGGGCATCAGTCGTCAAGATGTATGGAATGACAGGTTAACTAATATTGAGATTCTGGAGCGCTGGGGAGATACCTTGGACATGGAGTGTCGTCTCAGCAGACGTCGCCTTGAGTGGCTTGGTCATGTGTCAAGGATGGAGGATGAACGCATCCCGAAGGCTCTACTGTTTGGTTCGTTTCCAAACAAGAGACCTGCCCATGGTCCGCGGAAAAGGCGGCTAGACTGTGTTCGGAGTGACGTCAAACCGCTTGACGACTGGTATGAAGTGGCCACCTCTTCTCGCTCCAAATGGCGCAAGGCTTACTGTTGTCTGCCAGACAAGCAGAACAGACCTCGACCATCACCGGTTGTGTGCCAAACTTGTGACCGCTCCTTCAGTCCTGTAAGTGACAGGAAGCGACACAAGTGTACAGCTACGCGTGCCCTGCCCGTAAGCCAACAGCCAGGAAGTTGTCACTGCGACCAGTGCGACAGATGGTTCCGGAGCAAGGGTGGATTTGCCCGACACAAGTGCTCGCCAGCAACATCACCAGCAGAGGCATCTTCTGACACACTTGAGTCACCAGTTACGGACAATATGTCCTGCGAACGCTGCAGCTTCCACTGCGCCCGCTGTGTGCTATCGCGCCAAGGCATGAAGCGTCACAAGTACGTGCAGCCGTTGCTCAGCCAGAGCAACCAACACAGACCGTAGCCCCTTCTGCATCGTTTGCAATTGCGGTCAGCGTTTCAGTAGACCACAGGACCTATCCCGTCATCGCCCCTACTGTTCCGAACCTGCTCAACCCCCCATGGGGTCCGCATAGCCAGAATATGGCAGCGCGTCCAAGGTCCAAGGTCCAAGGTGTGTGTGTGTGTGTGTGTGTGTGTGTGTGTGTGTGTGTGTGTGTGTGTGTGCAGAAAGGGCCGAATTCCCATTCCAGTGCCCATGCCACAGGAAGTTCTGACTACGTCACCATCTAGTGTGCCATCAGAAGTGTTGCTGCTCAGCCTCTTCCACCCTTCTCCCCTGACGGAGACCGTGTAACCTACCAAGGCAACGTGTATCAACGTGCATCTAGGTCAAGGTGTGTGTGTGTGTGTGTGTGTGTGTGTGTGTGCGCGCGCGCGCGTACGTGTGTGAGGGCATGTGTGTGTGTGTGTGTGTGTGTGTGTGTGTGTGTGTGTGGCTTGGGCACGTTGCACGTATGAGCCCGGAGCGGATGCCTCAGCAAGTTCTCTTCGGAGAGTTGCTGCCGACTCGACCACGCCATGGACCGAAGAAGCGGTGGCGGGATGTGATTGTTGACGACCTGCATGCCGCGGACATCCCTCAACAACACTGGTTGGCCATGGCACAGGATCGTCCAGCCTGGCGACGGAAAATCTCCATCGACCGTCTCCCTCCTCCGGCGCCTCCACTCGCCAAGCCGTTCAGCTGCGCATGCGGACGGTCGTTCCGCAGAAGTGGCGACCTCAAGCGTCATCGGCATTTCTGCCTGGCTCATTAAGCCTATCATCGCCTCCGGCGAAGGGGCGTCACAAGGTCACAAAGTGTGTGTGTGTGTATGTGTGTGTGTGTGTGTGTTTTCATGTGTGTAGGTTGAAAACTCCTTGATATCTGGTCACACAAGTCATGACAGTCCACAACACACCAGTGTGAGGCCTGACTCACATTGGGGTCTACCTGGCTGTATTTGACATTTCGTGGAGTATTTTTCTGTGTTGTATACGCATGCTCAGTGAAATGCAGCAATCGCAGGAAATCAATGCCACCACAAACAGAAACGAGAGACTGACAGAAGTGCGCAAATGGGCAAGTTCACACTCATGTCGGGTGCATGTTAGCACAACACATACAGCTTGTGTGGTGTGTTGAACTGAGTACGCAGCTACATATGTTCACGGTCACGTCAAGTGCATCTCAGTCTCCCTGATGTGTCTGGGCATGTGTGCATGTGTGCATGTGTTTCACAGCAGATACTACTGAAGAGGCCTATGACC